CTTTTTCAATCGTGATGTTGATGCAAAAATATCTTTGTTTTTAAGGTTTTCGTAGACTACCGAGTGAAGTAATTTCCAATTTATAGATTTCTATTCCGAAGTTTTGTGGTCTCGACTTGAAAATTAACCCATTGTTTTTCTTACGTATATTATAATACCCTGATTATCCATATTTTTCAAGTTATTGTTTTCATTAGAGCTGAGAAGCCATAATTAATGTGGATTTGGTAATTAAAGATATTCTATTCATCAATTCAGTAGAAAAAAAAATTAATTGTTTGTTTATCGATGTATATTTTGTTTTGTTACTACTTTAAGTGCCGTGGGGTGAAGCGAATTTCTTGTCTCACATTCTGTGAATTTCGGAAAAATGACTCAACGAAAGAAAAGGAAAAAGCCATCCTACGGTCCTTGACACCAAGTCGCAAATCTGAGAATATTGCAGGACCTTTTTTAAACTTTTCTTGCAGGATCGTTAGAACCTCTGATGTTAGTAACGACCCAAGTGCATTGTTTAGGTTGTAGAAGAACTGAAACCTTCTTGGAGACGCACTAACGAAATGGCGACTGCTTCTGCCACAGCTACTCAAGCGCTCAGTTCAACGGATGAAAAAGATAGTTATCAGCGTCTTTCTCGACTGATCATGCGTGCGGGTACCGAGGTATTGAGAGCACTGTTTGACTCCTTTTACCCACCAAACAGTCTCGCCAACAAACTGAGTGAGTCTGCCACCAAGAAAGATTTGCGCAAAGCTCTTCTCAAGCCTCAACGTATGCTTGTTTATCCGGCACAAGGATTGTTTGGAAAATCAAAAGACTTTGACATCAGCCTCCTTACTCAACTATTAAAAACTCTTTGTCAGACGAAATTACCTACTCTGCACAGCGGATGGGATTGTCTCCCGAGTACCAGTAATTTAACCTTGACTGCAGACATCGTCAGAATTAAGCTTTACCGCAATTATGTTATTCATAAATATTACTATGGGGAATTGAATGATGAAGAATTTTTTTTCCTCTGGGATGAAATCAAAAAAGCCCTTTTACGTATAGCTTCCTATATCAGTGCAGAAACAAAACTTGAGTGGGAAGAAGCAATCAACAGGTTGCGGCATGATCCCTTAACCTCAGAGGCTGCAAGGGATGCCGAGGAACTAATGGAAATGTATCAGAAGGATATGATCATAAAAGAATGTATTGTGTCAGGGTTCGCTCGAGTGGAGAGGCTAATTCAAGTTTCCTCTGAAGAAACAAACGAACGACTTGATGAAATAAAGGATGAAATTGGACGGCTTCGCGAATTGGTGACAGATCGGGCCCAGAGCTCTTCAGCGGTAGAAGGGGGAGGTCAGTTTAAGGAAGAGATTGTTTTACTTAAAGAAGTTCAGTGAATATTGAATTATATAGCCTACTTCGCCATTATAAGGATGAGTACTAAAGAAAAAACTGTGCTGCTGTGTTGGTGGGAGAGTATAACAGGGTAATTAAGTATTATTAACTGAGTTGATCACGTAAATTGGCCACCGTAAAGAGTTGCAAAGCTGACGTTTCGAGCGTTAGTCCTTCGTCAGAGTGAAAAACGAAGTTGAAATGGTTACATATTCTAACTCGGGTAATTCTTAATATAATAGCTCAACTTCCTATTAACCTCGAGATGGAATCCATGCAAAGCCGCACCTCTCTAGAGGAAGCTCCAACGACGACGATATCCTCTCATGTGCAGCCAACTGCTTCAGTTGACGAACCTTTGACGATCACAGCTGATCGGTCCATAGCTGATCGGTTCAGACAAAGAATAGCCTTGGAAATACGTCGACATTACGATTCATCAACAGCTGAGGAAAACGGATTTGTTCAACATCTGGAGGATGTTAACCAAGTCCCTATTGTGGATGTCAATCCCGGTAGCTTGGTACTGACAGTCAGATGCAGCTCATTGGAAATTCTAGAACGACTCTGGCAAGATTACTCCAGTGGTCACCTCGGTAAAGTAGCTCAAGAATTCCTCGTGACCGAGAGAGTGCTGGAAGATCTTGGACTCGTTGAACTAAAGCTCAAGATTACTATTCCGGAGAAAGATTACTGGGAGGTTCGGTGGCACTTTCCTAAGTGTGCAGGTATAAAACTTATAGGCACTGTCATATTTTAAATATATTTTAAAGCTAGATTTAGTAGTATTATTTTGCTCAAGTAGGTTTATTTCAAGCGTAGTACTCGGAGGTGAGGGCCCGTAACGAGTGAGATCAGGAGTGAAAATTGGGAGTCTACAGGACTTTGCTGTTTAGTGGGTGATGGGAATAAAGTTTATCTGGCCTTCGGTTTGTGGATCCCCATAGACGAAGTTCTAACCTGATTCCATTTATTTCAGTCTTGTATTGTCTTTACCAGGTTCTGATTACTCTGAGGAAACCGAAGGAGGACAAAAAGAAGACGGCAAGGAAGAGGAATACATACCTTCTCAGCATCCCACAGGTATTAAACAGTGTCTTTCATGAAACCACGAATAGCGGTAAAACCTGGGTCACATTGCATTGAAACTACTAAAAACTTAGATATGGCGCATAAATAGTCAGTCCTGAAAGTTTTTTTTCGTATAAATTGTTGAAGCTGATAAGTCCATAAAAAGAATAGTCTCGGAATTATGTAGATATTACGATTCATCAACAGCTGAGGATAACAGATTTGTTCAACATCTGGAGGATGTTAACCAAGTCCCTATTGTGGATGTCAATCCCGGTAGCTTGGTACTGACAGTCAGATGCAGCTCATTGGAAATTCTAGAACGACTCTGGCAAGATTACTCCAGTGGTCACCTCGGTAAAGTAGCTCAAGAATTCCTCGTGACCGAGAGAGTGCTGGAAGATCTTGGACTCGTTGAACTAAAGCTCAAGATCACTATTCCGGAGAATGACTACTGGGAGGGTCGGTTGCACTTTCCTGAGTGTGCAGGTATAAAACTTATAGGCACTGTCATATTTTAAATATATTTTAAAGCTAGATTTAGTAGTATTATTTTGCTCAAGTAGGTTTATTCCAAGCGTAGTACTCGGAGGTGAGGGCCCGTAACGAGTGAGATCAGGAGTGAAAATTGGGAGTCTACAGGACTTTGCTGTTTAGTGGGTGATGGGAATAAAGTTTATCTGGCCTTCGGTTTGTGGAACCCTTATAGACGAAGTTCTAACCTGATTCCATTTATTTCAGTCTTGTATTGTCTTTACCAGGTTCTGATTACTCTGAGGAAACCGAAGGAGGACAAAAAGAAGACGGCAAGGAAGAGGAATACATACCTTCTCAGCATCCCACAGGTATTAAACAGTGTCTTTCATGAAACCACGAATAGCGGTAAAACCTGGGTCACATTGCATTGAAACTGCTAAAAACTTAGATATGGCGCATAAATAGTCAGTCCTGAAAGTTTTTTTCGTATAAATTGTTGAAGCTGATAAGGGAATAAAGTTTATCTGGCCTTCGGTTTGTGGATCCCCATAGACGGAGTTCTAACCTGATTCCGTTTATTTCAGTCTTATAGTGTCTTTTCCAGGTTCTAATTACTCTGAGGAAACAGAAGGAGGACAAAAAGAAGACGGCAAGGAAGAGGAATACATACCTTCTCAGCATCCCACAGGTATTTAAATACCTTTTTAATGCTGTTTAAAAACAGTGTCTTTCACGAATCCATGAATAGCGGTAAAACCTGGGTCACATTGCATTGAAACTACTAAAAACTTAGATATGGCGCATAAATAGTCAGTCCTGAAAGTTTTTTCGGATAAATTTTTTGTATATTCAGAAACCCAGAAATTGAAGACATTGAAAACTCCCCTGGTAGCCCATCCTTTTCGATGGTGGAGTTTAGGCAAATTTATTGGAGGCGGAACTTTTGGCAAGGTACGTTAATTTTTATTGTAAACGAGGATTTGACATAAAAGTCAATAAATGCCAGAAAATAACATGATTGTACTTGGCATTTTGTGAGACTTGACGAACTATAATCTTTGGTTAAAATGTGCGTCTCATTGAAACTGAGTAATTTGAAAGAGTTGCCCTATTGTTCAATCAACACTGAGCTCGGGTTAATTCTAGCTTAGCGGAGATTGGAATCACAGTAACACGGCTGCTGTGTTTCTTATCCTTCCATTTTATTACAGCGCGTGGAACAAAATGTCAACGATCAGCTTGTTGTTTGCTTGTTCCTTTTCAATGTTCTCTGTTACGAATTGATGAAAAAACAAATATTTCTCTTCTTCTGTAACAACCACAAAACATTCTTTCATCTTGAATACATTTAAAAACACAGACTTTCATCGTGGTTGACGTAAGGTTTGAAAATTATTGGAATATCACCGGTTACCATATAGCAAGCAGCACCCTTGGGCAATATCAAGTGAATACTGTGTTCCGATTGGCTACCCGCGCGGGCAAGACGAACCCATCTTGCACTTTCCCGCTTTGATACCACGCAAGAAAAGAAGAACTGCGTGGGGTTGGATTAACAAATTTGGAAATTTTTTGAAAATGTTATCGATGGAGTTTTAAAAGTGGTAGAAGACAGTCAAAACAAAAAAAGGCATGAACGAGTTTCGTGAATTTATTGTGCTGCAAAAACCGTAGCTCAAAATTCTATAGGTCATTCCTGATTATCTTAAAATTGAAGCGAAACCTTTTTTGCTATACAATAAATCCTTCATTGACCAAGCTTGTTTGGTCAAGATGGCAGGATTTTTAATTCGTTCTTTTTTTGAGGTTTTTATAGACTTACTTTGTCTCGGTCCGTAAAATTGCAAAAAAGAACTTGTCCAATATCCAGGTAATCTTAACCTCGCGCTTAGTCAAAACGCATACATACCGTATATCCCTCGAACAAGCGCCCGGGCGCCCATTTAAAATTTCGGCTTTAAGGGGGCACTTAATCGAGGGGTGTGCTTATTAAGTTTTCCTTTCAACGAGCTGTAACTTTATTTTAACCACAAAATATTTACATCTTTCGTTTGTGTTAACAAATGGGGAAGGACTTATTTGCTGAAAGAGATGACAGGGAAGAGGTTAAGAAGTATGACGACGATGTAATTGGGATTTACAAAGTGAAGCATGTGCATGGCTCTGACAGTTTAAAGTTTGTTGGTCGCATTCTGATTGACCGATCATTCCTTCTCAACTACTTTCTTCAAACGCATCATGTTAGAATGATTCAAATAATCTGATTGGTTGAACAAGACTAAAGCTGTCGAAAATGTCAAACCATCAAAGTTAACAATCTGAACTATCTTACAAACTGAAATAGTTCGGCAGGTCGAATTTGACACTTTTCCCTGAAGTTTTAAGTCTCTAATATAAAAAAATTGAAAGTGACATGTTTAGTGAAATCCGGCCGAATCGAAGCTCATAAAAACACGCAATTTTTTCACATGACAGTTAGAAAACAAGCTGTTCAAGGCTTGTGTTTTATGAATGCACGTCAGCCGAATTCACAGGAACATAAGGATCACTCGGTATGACAGTAACTTTCTGCCGCTTCCGCTTCTCTTTTTCGGAATATAATAGAAAAGCGTCACATGCATCGATATTGACCAATATATATCAGTGTTTGAAAGAGTCAGTGTTCTTTAATTTTTTGGGTAAAAAGACAGTCTTAGAGTTTGTGACACTAAGGCCAGGTGGCCAGTGGAAATAACCAATAACCAACAATATGACAGTTTCATCGCACCTTGAAAGTTTGCTAGTTCTGAAAATACCTGAAGGACGTAAATCAATAGCACAGTTTTGGTCACAGTACGACCTTTAGCAAACTATGACAGCAACGGCAACGAGAACGCGACAAAACAAAATAGGGTGAAGAGTGCGACAAACTAACAGGGACTCCACATCTGTCACGACTACAACTACTATACCCTACATCAAAGGCACTTCTGAGGCTATCGCGCGGATCCTATAACCTTACAACATTCGCGTAGCTCACAAGCCTATTACTACTTTACGACATTTACTGACCAACGTTAAAGACAAAGACGAACCCAACAACAGACACGGAGCGATTTATAAGATCAAATGCTCCGACTGCCAGGCCTCCTACATCGGTGAGACTGGTAGAATCCTTAACACGCGATTAACTGAACACAAACGAGCAACTAGAAATGGCGATGTAAACAATCACATTTCTGAACATCACCGACAAACTAATCACAGAATCGACTGGAACTCTGCTAAATGCTTAACCTACAGTACAAACTATTCTCAACGACTGACTCTGGAAAGCTGGTTTACTAACTTAGAACGGACGCCTCTCAACAGATGTCAACAACTACCGGCACCTTACAAACGACTCATTAACGACGTGAACAAACCGACAAACAGACCGACAAACAACAGACGGATCGAAACCGACCAATGACTGTGAACAAACTCTACACGAGTATTCCAGCCAATCACATCACGGCTAAACAGACCAATCACGTTCAACAGACCAGACTTTATAACATCATCGACTGACAACTACTCTTCACTTGACTCTGAAGACGACTTCCGCACAGGTTGTCGAAACGTCAGTCACCAACAACAGTTCTTTTCAGAACTACACTCACCCGGACGATCACACTATATGAACTACTGACACTCCTGGGTTCAAACCATTTACTTTACTCACACTAATTAACAAATCAAAGACTACTTGTCTAGTTATCGTTCCGTCCGCTTAGAAGGGTGTCTTAGAGATAAAACAGGCAGCAGGCCTCATCCTCAAGGCCCCTACTTTATATGAAAATAAAATATGACTGCATGCATAACTAGGTATACTTCTTTGAATGAAATTTATCTATAGTTTGAACCGTAAGCATGATGAACCGTAAGCATGAAGAAGCCTCAGTTCATTTTTAAGTTTAGGAGACCATTTAAAGGGGAGTTGGGAGATGAGTTGACCGGAGAGGAAAAAACAATTTGGAGTTATCGTCCGTTTTCGGTTACGTCTTAACCCCTGCACTAATCAAATGAAGAGATTTATACGCTTTGATGGCTCCATAAATCAGATCAGTTTACAGCTCTGATTGAAGAAGCGATCAATCAGAACCGTGTTCGTCGAGTTTCGATGCATTTACAAGTACTCTTCAACGTATTTTCATCCTCTCAGTTAGCTCTACATAGCCAGGTTCAGTGAAAACAAGGTAAGGAAAGAACATTCAAGGTTTAAATGTGAAGGTGACATTACTCTGAGGTTTCCGACAGGTTTTACCAAGTCCGTTTGGAAACAAAAAGGGTTAAAGCGCCTACGCTCGACTCGGCGAATTTCGATCACAATCGTAATTTGTATTTGCTTGACTTCTCTCTAAGGTTGATGATAGAAATTTATTCAAGAGACGTTTTAATGAGCCAACTAAGCACGTTCATATCGATTGTAGAGGAATTTCAAAGTTATAAGTCATGACAAGATTTTTTAACGCACTAAGGATTTTTATTTCCGCTGTGGAAATTACACTTAAATGTTAAATACCCGTACAGGGTGAGGTCTTTGGACGATTTCTGTGTCACTATGTAGCTCCTTTTCATTTGAAACGAGGCAAATATCTGGCAGTTTGAAGGATGATCATTTAAGTGTAAGTAACATGTCGAAACATGCCGTGTTGTCGTGTCTGGACCTGTCCAAACGTCGTGAATAGTTAACATTAAATTTGGTCAATGCAGATCAACGGTCACTTCATTAATTGCCATGAAATTTCATTTACGCTTGGTTTAAGAACTTTTAAGGTATTCCAACAGATCTTCTGTCGATTAATTATGGAGTCATTCTTGCTCATTAATCCGGTTTAACTAACGTAGTTCTAAGATTCCAAGTGCTGATTATTTAGTTAAGACGGAACCGTGGAAAGTACAGTGAGCTTGTTGTTTTGTTATTTTTATGAATCTGTTGGGACTCTGTCTCTAGCTTGAAAGACTTGACATTCGTTCAAATATGAGTTGGAAAGAATATAAGAGTTTGATCGCCACTTGAAAGTAAGCTAATTCTGAAAATACCTGAGGGGTGTAAATCAATAGCGCAGTTGTGGTCACAGTACGACCTTTAGCAAACCATGACTGCGACGGAGACAACAACGAGAACACGACGAAACAAAACATTTCACGAGAAAAAGCTCTGCGCATGCGTTTAATAATTTGTACATCTCAGCGCCCTCGGCAAAATATCAACATATACAGTCACCCAAATCTGCGTGGTCTGAGAACAGGAAAACCGACCACAAGTTGTTTATGTTTCTGTTTTAAACTCAATAGGGTGAGAACTGGACAAACAAAAGATTTCACGAGCAGAAAAAGCAGAGCAAAAGCTCCGCACTTTGTACACCTCTTACACACCATCTTACAGTCACCAACATTTGTCTTGTCTGACAACTCAACGCCGCTTACACACGTCACATGTTATGCTGAAGTCGAGGTCTGGCGTCGTTAGAGATTGTAGAAATCTCCAGCCATTCGCTAAATTATCGAGATAAATACCGGTTCCTTTTTAATCGACCTTTTCCTCTCCGTCGTTGACCGGACTGCTCAAGGTACTTAGTGCCTCGGTTGTGCCTGATACATACGAGTCTCGAAGACACAAAAACGTGGTCAAATTTTATTTCACATCAGGGAGATTCTCAACTTGTACGAATCGTTATTGGTACAGCTTGAAATACTGAAAATGCCCCTGACGGGATTCCCCGACCATAGCTGGTCTAACAGTGTGCTAAGTGTGCATATGACATCACATTCAAACTGAAAAGTCGACGCCAAAGTGATTTACATGTTGTTCATCTAAAACTCGCAATTAATAAATGAAAGACTACTTGTTCAGTTTTCGTTTCGTACGCTAAAAGGGGTGTCATAGAAATAACACGGGCAGCAGGCCTCATCCCAAGGCCCCTACTCAGCTTTTTATGAAAATAAAAAATAAGACTGCATGCATAACCAGGTACATTTCGTTGAGAACTCAAAACTTTCTCTCACAGATGGATGGGCGACCAGATCCACCTGCTGGAACACCAATTCAAGAAAGTAATCCAGGAATCCTGGAACCTTCAGGTCAAGATCTGTCGTTTTTTAATTTAAGATATCTTTTTAACAAGTAAAACTGGCAATAACTTAATTGTTGGATGATATACTCTTATTTGGCTGGTATATACACTTTACAAGGATAGAGCCGGAAATAGCCAGCAAAAGATGAGCAGGCTTTTAAGTGGCCACCGGCAAGGAAAAAAAATTAGATAAGAAGGTGACGCCCTAGAAAATGGATGTGAAAAGGGAAGGATGAGAATATATAACAATAGTAAGACAGGCAAGATAAGATTAAAGAGGAATAGCGAGAATGAATAGTGAGAGAATAGGAAGACAGCTTGAGTAGCTGTTGCTTTAATTAATGACATAACATCTCAGCTGGTTTCTAATTTCAGGTGGGTCATCAAAACCAGTTGAGGAAACTTTAGCAGGTATTTTCTCCTTCTGATGCTGTTTCTTCTATCCACCATTTTCTGTTTATGGAAATTGTGGCATGTATCTGTGAGGTTTAACTTATCTTCCATTGCAATACTTTGCATTGACTTACAGGAATCGATAGAAAATTGTCTCTTCTCCCCCAAACGGTACCGCATTTCGTCAATCGCGAAACAGAATGCGACGAAATCAGAAAATACCTTTCTCCACAGCACAATTGCAGATGCCTTCTCATACATGGTGTCACTGGTATAGGGAAGACGACCGTGGCGACGAAAGTGGCAAACGACATACTGAATTCTGGGGGAAGTACCGTGGTGATCTATGTCAACTGCAGAAACATAAAACTTTCCCATGATTTTGCTGAGAAGGCTCTTCAGCAAGTATATCACGCACCTGTGGAGAATCCAATACCTGAGCTGAAAAATCGCTTGAAAAGCCAAGATTTCTTCACCATTTTGCTATTGGATAATTTTGAATTTATACTTTATTTGGATGACAGAATGCAGCTCCCTGGAAATGAATTGTCACTCCAGCAGAAGAACCCATCTGAGGAAGGATCGAGGATTAAGAATCTAATCAATGAAATTTTAATGGTGACAGACAACATCAAACTTCTCCTCACCTCTTCAGAGACAGTTTGTTTTCCGGAAGCAGGTCAAGAAATGGTTCATCTGTCACCTTTTAAGCCAGAAGAATCCGTTGAGCTTTTGAAAAGAGTGTGGAAGGATAGGCAAGTCAATATAACTCAAGCACATGACTTGTCAGAGATTTGCAGCGGTATTCCCTTGGTTCTTTACACCCTGGCCTCCTCCCACAGTGACCTGCCAAGTCTCTTAGAAGCGATGAGGTGTTCTTCGCCTGCAGGAAAACTCAAGATCTTGACAAAGATTCAAACGGTATCAGCGGATAAAAAGATCGACGTTTGTATCGATCATTGCTTCGAGAGGCTTGTTTCGATAGAAAAGTGTGCCCTTATCAGATTTGCATTACTCAGAGGGCGTTTTTCTCTGTCTGAAGCAGTGAAAATATTTCAATCAACGGAGATGAGTGCGTCTCAACTCAGACGAAGTGGACTGGAACTGTCCCAGCGATCACTTCTAGAAGAACACATTGATGGGGATGAATACTCCTATACCCTCCTTCGAGTAATTCGTGATTATTGTGAAACTAAGGCAATGGAGCAGGAGTTTCGTCAAGTGATCCTAGATGCTCGGAGAATGTTTATCCGCCATTTTTTAACCTTTCTGGAAGACATCTTTAAAATGTTCCTGAGCCAGAACGTGTCAGAAGCTATTGCAGCCTTTCAGAAAGATGAAGCGAATGTCATGCAGCTCGTTGAATGGTGCAAAAATGGCCAAATGGATGAAGAACAAACAAGAAGATGCATTGATGTTTTCAACAGCGTAACGGAGCTACTGGCGAAGATGATGGGAAAGGCCAAATTTGAATATGCCTTCAAATCTCTAAGAAAGAGATGCGAAGAGATGAAAGATCAGACGAGACTGAGCGATTGCCTCACGTCCTTGGGGCTGAAAGAAGTATTCAGCTGTTCCTGTCCTCCAATTGGTCCGTGTGCTTTACACGCTGAAATAGCCAAAGAATACTTCACGAAGGCTGACCGAATCCAACGTAATCTTGGAGTTAAAAAAGGGAACAGCCGAGCTCAGTGCCTTGCCAAACTTGGTCGATGTATCGCCACAGTAGGCTTTTTTGAGGAGGCAAAAGAAAAAGTCCAACAGGCAATCAGAATTCGATCGGAAGGACAGGATGACGACGTTATGCTCGGTGCAACGTATAATGATCTGGGAGGTAGGTGCACAAAATGATTAGGTACCAAATTAATTTGCGAGCGCATTGATCATACATTTTGCAAGGCAGTTTGTGGGATCGTATTTTAAGGTTATTTTGAGCATTTGCTTACGTATGAATCTTCAAAATCGATGAATAAAGAGTCACAATTGACAATGCGTTACAGATTGTGGCCTGTGCTCTGAGTGAAAAAAGCAAGAGAAGCATCCTAATCCTCCATTATGATTTTAGCCTCTCATTAGTCAAGATTCAGCTTAATAGCCGTCATTCATTTAGTCTGGCCCTTGACAGGATCCTTAGAACACCGAGAAGGTGCAAAACTCTGAAATGTATTGAAAAGTGTCCTTATAATGTTTGTAATCAACCACTAGATACTATCTAGTGGTTGATTATAAACATTATAAGGAACGAAATCCTTCACATGAATTCTAATGCATAATACTTTAAAGGGGTCACGGCTACTTCAAAAATCCTTTCTTTAAGACAACAAAAATCACTTTTACTACCTTTCTTAATTATCTTCATGGTCAGCCGAAAATGACTAAAATTGGAATCATTGTATCTTTGGAATTATTTACAAATTCAATGATGAAACTCTAATTCCCTCGGTAGTGATCCTTTCGCTCGAGGGAAATCATGAGCAGGCAATCAAGGTCAGAGAAAGAAAGACGCTACCCATTTACAGAAGAACACTGGGTAAACATCCTTTCACTGCAACCGTCCTCAACAGTCTGTCAAACAATTATTTTGCCCAGGGAGAGTACAACACTGCCGAACTACATTCGAAAGACGCGTTGGAGATTCGGCTCGAGTTACTGAAGGACCATCGAGACACCGCTAAGTCGCTTTTTGACCTTGCGATGGTTCATAAAATGAAGGAAGAATTCAAACCAGCCGAGGAATATCTTGAAAGATGCGAGGCCATGCAAAAGAAAATATTGGATGACGAAAACAACGATCTTACAAGGTAAATAACTGTCTATCACTATAAATTTTGCGTTTCATTAGGGATCCTTTAGGCATGCAGGTGTTGATGAATTAAACATTAACACCTTCATCCACCTCCTTAATTCTTCAACTACTAAGATCTCATTATTAATTCTCCTCTCTGGCGGCTTCATATTTCCTTGTGGATTAGTTACAAGAATTTGGTGTTAGAGCAAAATAACTTCTACCTGATAAGTTTGAGTATTCTCATTACCTGTTTGCTGGACAATGTGTGGATATTATTGGGAGAAGTTACATGTTAATCACTTCTGGAAGTTAAAGGGTTAAGCGTTAAATTTTCCGAGTTTTTGGTTGATGTGCCTTTCCTCGCACAGGACCAGGAACGAATTGGAAGAAGTAAAGAGGCATCTATAGGGAGCCATGCAAGGGAACTCCTGAAATCCGGTAACAAACTCTGACAGAGAATCTCTTGATGTGAACCGTCTAATCTTGTCCAGTTCTGAGTGTCTTCAAGTGTAACAAGGCAGCACTCCTTCGAGATTCCTCAAGAATGAAGATACAGTCAATTCTGCGTGACGTCTCCTCTTAAACAATAGTCTTAGTTGAAAATCTAGGTAATTATGACATCTCCATTTTTGTCGAATTTGAGTCTGTTATGCTCATGCAAATGTCTTGAAAACAAGAGCTGAACATTCAAATGTTGGTTGCAATCATTATTATATTGAACGTCTTAGGTCAAGTCTCACATCACTGGATCGCTTTAGTTTCTTCGTAATGGTGTAAATAGGTTTGGTTTTAGGAAAGTGCCATTGTTCTGGACAAGTGAGTCTGGCTATTTCCAGAAATCCTAGCCGGAAAGATTCTTTCTAGGCGTAGTCCTGTCAGTTTGGTGCTAAGGATTGTATATATGTATAGATATTTAGGAACTTTTCGGCTTGTTCTATACTGATTCAATTCAATTTAGAATAGGTGGTATTTCACTAAAAATGAAACAGGAATCGCAATTGATGGAGGATAGCTTATCCAAGACATTCAACCGCCTCCTAACAGAAACTCAATTGAAATCCTGTCGTGACAATTTTACGTTGAGGCGCTTTGAAAACGCTGGACAAAATTAAAAACAGGTAATTAAGTGTTAACAACTGAGTTGAAAATGTAAATTGGCCACCGTAAAGAGTAAAATAGCTGACGTTTCGAGTGGTAGCCCTTCGTCAATCTTTTTACGGTGGCCAATTTACGTTTTCAACTCAGTTGTTAACACTAAATTACCTGCTATTCTCTCCCACCGACGCAGCACCACAGTCTCTTTAGAGACTTAACCCCTTTGTTTATTTAAAATTTATAACAGCACGCTTTGAGCATTGATTAACAGTATTCAGGTTAGAATTCTTTTCACATCTTCTTAAAGCGATGAAAAAAAATCACACCTTCGTTAGATGCCACGCGCGAGGTAAAAGACAAAAGGAACAAATAAAAAGAGATAACAAACGCGCTCTGTGAAAACCTCGAAAAACTTGCTTTTAGCAGTAGTTCATTCTAAAAACATTTCTAGAATTCAGTTTTGACAGTTTTTAGAAAAGTCTTTTACGAGCAAGATCTGCTTTTTCTATTTTTGCAAAAGATAAATAAAAAAAACTCGCACCTTCTTCATTGTGAGACTTGTGAGTGAAAAAATATCACACCCTCATCTTGCCACGCGTTTGATTGAAAACGAAAATAACTCAAATACATGCTCTTGCAAAAACTAGAAATCATTGTCTTAATCAGTATATCTTGTATCATCAACATAGTTACACGAATTCGGCGCTTTTGCAAAGAAGGATCCTCGTGTTAGGTAAAAATGTTGGTTCTAAAAATTATCAGCGCCTCGTTTGAAAACAGCTGTACGCCAGAAACAAGGTCTTTAATCGCCTCGAGGCTCTCCACAGAAAACCGTCACTTTCGATTGTATTTAACACCTGTAGTAAGACCAAAAAATATATTTGTGCATTGACTTTTTACCAGGCGACTTGACTTGCATATAGAGAGAGGTGGTTTAAATGAGTCACTGCAATACGGATAAATTTAATTATTTTTGAATTTGCGAACCTTTGGCTCGATTCGCTAAACGAGGGTCAAGTCTACCCTTGGGTACATCGATAGAGATTGATTTTACTAGTGCATATCTACACTATCCACTCCCCCAGTGCAGCAAAATTGTCGCTCCAGTAATTTTCTCGATCAGTTACGAGCTTTTGTCTCTTAACAAGACTTCCCGCAGCTTACATGGTTACCGTGTAAACTAACCTTTCAAGCTCGCTGATCATGGTAGGGTCATCCAGAACCCTTTGCATGATTTCACATTCTCTCAGGTAAGCTTTGGCATCCTTGAATTCTTCCCTATTTTTGTGAACCATCCCGAGATCAAACAAGGACTTAGCGGTGTCGTAATGATCTTTCAGCAGCTCACGCCGAATCTTCAGCGCTTCCTCTGATGTCGTACTCACCTAGGGCACATTGTTCAGGATGGTTGCCGTAAAGGGATGACGGTCTCCCAAGTGTTTTCTGTATATTTCTATCGTCTCTTTTTCTCTAACATTTATGGCTTCTTCATGGTTTCCCTCAAGGGAGAGAGCCACTAGACAAAAAGGAAAAAATTCAAACACTTGTTTTCTGGAAGCAGAAAAGAAATACGTCCGTAAGGAAGCGAGTTGAAAAATTTTCTCAAACTGATGAAGGTGGGGGCGAACTTGTTTCACTTCAGGGGACATACTCGCATAGGTGGGAAGAGGTGAACTTGCACTGGGGTGAAATCTCCATTAAACAGAAAAATTTGTGCACAACGCTCTGTGGAATTTCCTGTCAGCTTATTTAGCTTGAGAAGAAAATTTAGTACGAAACCTTACCCACCTGCTCTGTCATTGTATGTTGCACCTAATATAAAAATGTCTGCTTCCCCACGTGCCTTCGAATGTCGATCGCCTGTCGAATCTTCTCTTTTCCTTCAGTGAAGCTTTGTTCCTTTACGAGACACCGACCGAGTTTGGCAAGACATTGAGCTCGATTGTCACCAGTGCTGATGCCAAGATCGCTTTGGATTCTATCGGCCTCTAGCAGATACGGCTTGGCTCGTCCAGCAGCTTCGTCACACTAGTCTGGAGAGCAGCACACAACTGAACACTTCCTTGATCTCCAGGGACGTGAGACATTCTCCCAATCTCTTTTGATCTTTACTTTCCTTGCAATTTCCCTATTTTTCAATTGTGTTAAGGCGCGGTCAAATGTTTCTTTCCCATCATGGTTAATGACATTAATGTTGTGGCCCGGAAACAAACCTGCTTATTAAGTTTTTAGACGATATCGCCTTGAGTATTCCAATTGGGCTGAATTTGCCTGATGACTCTTCGGTCAGTGAAACTTCAGAACATTAAACTTTGGTCAAGTATGAATCGTATGAAATTAAACCCAACTAAGACATGGGAACTAGTAATTAGAGGAAAGACCCCAAAAATCAATCTCCTGGGACAGTGTGCTTACTATTGAAAGAAAGAGCCAACTTAAATTATTGGGAGTAACCTTTCATGGAAATCCATGCAATTGGGACACTAATTTTCATAATATGATGGATAAGGCTAATTCAAAGCTCTGTATCCTCAGAATTTGTAAGTGCCATGGGTACACTTGAGAAGAGATTACGATCTTATTTCATAGCTTAATTATGTCCGTATTTACATACGCAATTAAAGTATGGGTATGTGCTTAAATACCTCCCTAAGATCGATAAATTCTGCTAGCGAGCATGAAATATGGCTACAACAAGGAGCGCATATTCATCAGTGATGTAATTCAAATTAGCAATAAACAACTATAGAAAAAATTCACAGCTACGGATACACATTGTTTAACAGGTCTTCTACCGAACAAACGTACATATCAATCTTTACGTCAACGTGGTCATGACTATATGCTACCACGTATTCGCACGGACTGCTTTAAGCGCCGCTTTGTAAATAGATCTCTTTTTAACTTTATCTAGTTCATTGTTTGTAAAGAAAGTTATAGTTTTTAGATACCTCCTCTTCTGTTGTATTGTAAACTTGCACGTATGTCTGTAAGTGTTTGGTTTAATTAATTAATCAATAAAGATTTTAACCAAAATCAATCATTTTGACAAGCAGTTCACCCACTGTGTTGAAGACATTAGTGCACCTTTTCTCTTGATCTTCCTCTATTGAACCTTTTCCACCAAAACAATTGATGAGCTGCATAATGATTTCTTCTTAACCTCGGTCTCCGACGATGGCCTTTAAGACATCAGTGCTAGGGAAGCTCTGGAAGGTTTCTTCAAGGAAAGCAAGAACGTAATTGACGAACATCTGCGGAAAGTACAGTTAGCTTATTGTTTTATTATTTTTATGAATCTGTTGGAATTCTGTCTCTAGCTTGAAAGACTTGACATTCGTTCAATTACGAGCTGGAAACAATGTGAGAGTTTGATCACCACTTGAAAGTATGCTAATTCGGAAAATAACAGAAGGGCGTAAATCAATAGCGCAGTTGTGGTCATAGTACGACCTTTAGCAAACCATGACGGCGACGGTGACGGCGACAGTGACGGCGACGGTGACGGCGACAGTGACAGCGACAGTGACGGCGACGGTGACGGCGACAGTGACGGCGACGGTGACGGCGACGGTGACGGCGACGAGAACGCGATAAAACGGAATATTTCACGAGAAGAGAAAAAGCTCTGCACGTGCGTTTAACAATTTGTATATTTCAGCTCCGCACGTGTGTTTAAAACTTTGTACACCTCTTAAACATCATCTTAAAGTCACCAATATTTGTCTTGTCTGACGACGGGAACACACTATTGAGAACTCAACGCCGCTTACACATGTCACATGTTAATTTCGTAAAAAAGATTGTGGTTATTTCATCGTGGTTAATAGCAATAAAAGCTAATGCTGTGTTTACACTTGAGCTTTTTACTGCGGTAGCAAAGTTTATTAACCTAGGTAAAATTTTCGTCAGTGTAAACGACAGCTGACACTTTGGTAAATGCCGCCCAAGACAATAGAAAGTTTACCGAGGTAATCGTTTTAATTACCATGTGGAAAGGCATGGTTACGCTCGGTAACCGAGGTCAAGATGACAGATATATCCGCTTGTGGCCGCGTAATATTTCACTTCCCGCGGTGAGCCGATCGTGTGATTGATGTTTTGCTTTCTTGGCGAAATTGATGGTCGAACCTCGCAAATCTGCCGCATTTGAGTCTTAACACAAATTGAAAACCCGGCATTTGAAAGGTAATTTAATTTTACATCTGACCGATTTTTAAACAATATAACCTAATCAAGATAACGCCACTAATTACGTCTATTCTTCTTCGATGAAAAGCGCTACGTTTCGGTTGTCTGCACAAGAAACAATACTTTCGAACACTGCGTACACGGGGGATTACATGATTGACAGTCGGATTGACAGGCCTGCGTGAAGTTACGCATGCTCTCTTTCTCTTTTCTAGCTTATTTGCATTTTCCCGTGCGACGTTTTTCAATGGGCGCGATTCTGTAATGTCACGTCGTCCAGCAACGAAGCGTTTCACAATACCTGTTACAATCATGGATGAAAGAAGTGATGGTTCTTACGGCGAACAATCCGTCAGGTAAAAGAAAAGAAGGCATTATAGTTTTATGCTTGGTATTATTTTCAACTTTCGCAAGAGAAACTTTGATCCTTCGTTGTGTAATCATTGTCGATGTATTTTCTCAACAGGGAGGATGATGCATATTCAACTTATCCACGACGTTTTTACCTACCATATTACCCCTCATACCATGCGTACCAACCGGCTGAATTTCCTCAGCAGTATTATGGTATGAGGTCCTCGCCCGTACAAATGATGGCACCACAATTTGCTCCTGCTCCTCCGCTGCGGTCTGATTCTCCTGCGAGTTCCACCAGTGAAGAGTTATCAAGCACTGCGCCAAAGAAAAAAAACAGTCGATGGACTGAAACGGAGGAAAAAATTCTCATCGAGTTGTTCGGTGATAACGAAGAGAAGCTTCGCTATAAAGCATACAATTCGCCAGAATGGGAATCTATTGCAACTCAACTACACGAGAGATGCCGGCGAGAACACGTTTCAAGCGACAAGACGGCGCAACAATGTAAAACTAAAATGAACAATCTCACAAAAAAATACAAGACAACCAAAGACAAACTCCGTACCACTGGTTATGGAAAAGGGGGAGATGAGGAGGCTGACAAGGAAGCAGAAGGCGGAGTTGAGCTTGTGTCTAAGCATTTTCAGGACATGGACGAAATTCTCGGCAAGCGAGAAGCCATCAATCCTCAACACGTGTTGAGAGTAGTTCCCCCCCCCCCCCCGATCAAATCACAGAATACCCTAGGAATTGATCAGGACATTCTTGACAAAGAAATTTTCGATGCAGAGATTGCCGCTTCTGCCTCCGCTCAAAATTTAAAGCGGAAAGTTGTCGGATCCGATGATCCTGATGATCTACCAGGCCCATCTGGTGAAGTATACACTTCTGACTCAGAGGAAGACCAGCCACTTGCCTTTGCAAAATCCTTGTTTTTAAAGAACAAAGGCAAAAAAGGAAAGTGCACAAGTACACCAAAGAGTACTCCAAAGAATGCACCAAGAAATGCACCAAAGAGTCTAAAAGACGGAAAGAAAGCAGCCAGAAAGAAGGTTAAAGCAGCAGCAGTAGATGAGCCTACAGTGCTGTCATTTCTGGAAAGAGCCCAAGAGAGGGATGAGGCGTTCATGGAGCGAATGGCAGAAGCCGAGAGGGAAAGCAGAAGAGAACAACAAAAGTTTTCGATGGATGCTTTGAAGATGCTTGGAAACATTTTAAAGGACGTTGCCAATGGGAAAGATTAGAGTACTTTATTTGTTTTATTAGAACATTTTATTCGTTTCAGTTATGAACTGTGATTTTATGTATCATGACAAAATGTTGGATCAAGACAACTATATATGTAGCAGGACAATGATTCCAGACATGATGAATATAAAGAAGGCAAAAATTATTGCAATTGTTTCTGCAATTATTTAAAACTGATTTTGGAAATTACAATATCTGTTGAGCAATTTTGGGAAATGAAATTATTATACACATTTCAAATTAAACCTCTAGGCATCTTTTGAAATACAAAAGTTATTTGTTTTTGACGATTTTTAGCAAAAAAAAATTATGTAAAAAACTTTAACATCAGAAAGCTTTTGTAACTTTTAAACCCAAGTGAATTATATAATTGTTGTTCAATTACACATGTGACAAATGGAAAGGGACACAATTTCAATCTCAAAACATTGATTTCAGTAAATTTATCACGTGTGTGGTTTCAACTTAACCCGAAAGATTCCAATAAAAATAGTAACTTTGGTTTAATGTTTTGACTATGATAAATAGTTCATAATATCTTCTCTAATGCCCCTTGCGTCAGACTGCTCATCTCCATTGCAAGAACTTTGATCCATTTCATCGTCATCCTCAACGGGGTCTATAGCACTCGGATCTCCAACATCTATACAAATATTATGAAGGACACAACAAGCCATGATAGTGGTGGGGACTCTGCTTGTTTTTTCCTCCAGTGGTTTATAGAGACACCTCCAACGACCTTTCAAAATTCCGAAAGCTTGTTCTATAACTACTCGGGCTTGGCTGAGGGCACGGTTGAAACGCAATTGGCTCTCAGTTAATGTAGGTGTTTGCTTAAAGGCTTCATCAGCCAAACAGACAAGGGATACGCCGAGTTCCCTACCAGAAGAGGACCAACTTCGGAACTCCCAATTATCTTTGAAGGCCCGTTTAGCCAGGTACCTTGATCAATTTCTCTCTGTAGTTTGCTCAGACGGAGAATACGGGCGTCGTGAATGCTACCGAGATAGCCCGTACTTACATCAAGAAATCTAAAAGACGCATCAGCGACGCCTTGGATAACAATAGAATAATCTTGCTTTCGATTAAAGTAGTCAATCCGTTCGTTGACAGGCACTGTTTTAATGCAATATGACTACCGTCAACTGCTTCTACCACATGCGGGAATGGGGACTTGTTTGTGAACAAGCCAATGCTTTGTAGCACCTCTTGCTCAGTCTCTGGAAATTTAATAAATTCTGTAGCCCGTTTGGCAAGTGCTTCACAAAAGTCGTGCGTTATCAGCATAGCTGTACACCTCCCAATGCCAAATTGCAGCCCAGTCGATCTATACGTGTCTCCAGTAGCTAGGCGCCATAACGCTACTGCCACTCGCTTGTTTACAGGGATAGATTGGCGCAATCTCGTGTCTCTCTTCGCCAAATCCGGTCCAACCACTCGTACAATGTACTCAAAAGTACGCCTTGATATCCTGAAATTTTCTTTTCACTAATCTTCAACGAAATCTCCTTGCAAAAGGCTCTCAAACCAGAACTGATTTCGTGGCCATACCTACGCACGTCTAGCACGTCTTTTTTTAAAGCAATTTGAAGTAAAACCATTCGTTTTCGCCTCGACCTCTTGAGATGTTGTAACAACCACAGCTTATGAAGTCTTGATGTTTCTGTTTGCCGGTCAAGAATTAAGAAATAAAAAGCAATGGCCACGAAAGCCATCACTTTACTTCTTGAAGCGAGCATGTTTTTAGAATTTCCCGCCAGTTCGATTTTTTTATGCTGCGCTGATAATGCACCGGGCGCGAGTGTTGACAGATCAACTTGAGTCATTTGAGCCAGTATAAACGCTGGACGAATTAACCAAGGTTAAGTAACTTGATCTTAGTAAATGTTTACCTTGGTTGAAGCTCAAATGTAAACACAGCATTAGTGTTGTTGCGTGCAAGCTAGTTTTATCCAGTTATATCTTTCATCTGTTCCCGGCAAAGCTGGATAAAGGTAATGTCGTGGACATTTAGTACACGTATTATTAAGATGGCATTCATGATAATGATAACTTTGTAGGATTATGTATTTATCATAGTACTTGACTATCCATTTGAATCTCCACCTCGGAGGAAACCAAATTCGCCACAGAGGGCGCACCTTGATAAACTGATGACTAATGAAGGCCTTGAACACCTGTATTCTTCTACCGAATGTTTGTGCCAAGCTGAAGTTGACTCGTAGTTAATCCGTGGTTTCTTTATAAAGGAGAAAAAATTATTTTCACTACTAAGAAGCGTTGACATCTTTCGCGTTGCCATCCATTTAGTGGAGTATGCCATCTACGGACTAAGGGGATTCGGGATTATTTATTTTTATTATTTTCAGTTATTACAATGTTTCCCTCATCCAAAATAATCCGAAAAATTTGTCAGAACGGAAAAGCTACAGTTCCTTTTCCATGGAGTCCCCAGGGTGGATTGGGCTAGCGTTTTCCAAATAGCCTCAGTGATGATACTTCAAAAAATAACATGTCTTTTCCCTCCAAGAATTGGTATGAAAAATTATTTTTGTTTTTGTTTTGTCGGTGGAGTGATTTTGAGGTTTCTGAGTGTAGTCGCGAAATTTCAAGTTCTTTTTCCCTCGATAGTTTTTAAGTGCTCCATTTTTTAACTCGTGAATTGCGCGCATGCGCAAGAGCGAGTTGTAGATACGATATGGGGAATGGCACTCGCTCGCTCGCTCGCTCGATTGGTCGATTCCTGTAAACTTTTTTTCGATCTTAGGCTTTTGGGTGCATTTGATAGTTTTTGGCGAGCAATAAACAAACGGAATGGCGACCTTTGTTGCTAAGAATAGTGGTGGGGTGAAAAAGAAGCCAATGATAATCTTAAAAGAGTTTTTTTTTTCGTTTTAGTTTCGACAAGCGGCGCCAGCGACTGGCAGGCATGCAAGGATTCACACTGAAATAACAGAACAACCTTCGTTTTTCATAAAATTGTAATTTACAACCTTAAACTTGAAAACAATCACTTACTGCGAAGCGCTCGGAGTTTACAGATGTTCAAAAGCTTTTTCTGTTATGGCGTGAGATTGAAGACAATATCGATCATTACGCTTCGTATCGTGTGTTTTTCCTGTGTGAAGCAACAAAAGATGCCGGCGACTGACGAAATTAAAGGTTAACACGAAAATCAAATAACACCTAAACAAACAATTTTAGCTACCGATTTTCAGTGAATTTTTAAAGAACAATTTTCTTTTAAGTTTCAAGACAATTTGAAGATTCAAAATACATATTACGTACTAAAATGCGAAAGTTATACACCACAAAATTGATAAATAGGCCTGAAATGAAATTCTATCTTGTTATTGATTATACGTTGCCTAACACGTGACTAAAATCTACTTAGGCGGAGATCAAAAATGACGGTGGAATGTTGCGTTTTAGGCCAATCACGCGCAAGCAAAAATAATTGATGGATTATGATGAGTGTTATGTAAATATTTTGAACAATTTTACAATTCAACTTCGTTGGATTGTTATGTTAGGATCTCGCACACCTTAAGGTTTCCCTTCATTGGATAGTTATCTTAGCATCTCGCGCACTTTTAGGATTCTCTTTCATGTGACTGTTTCGTAAGTAACTCACGTTCTTTCAGGATTCTCTTTTGATTGTTACGTTAGAATATCGCGCACATGTAGGATTCCTCTTTCACTGAATTGTTACGTTAGTATTTTGTGCACTTTAAGGATTCTCTTTCATTCGATTGTTACGTTAGTATCTCGCACAACTTAGCAAAATGTAGGATTCTCCTTCATTTGTAAGTTACATTAGTATCCCGCGCACTTAGGATTCTCTTTCATTCGATTGGCACTTCAGTATCTTGCACAATTTTGGGATTCTCGTTTATTCGATTGCAACGTTAGTCTTTCGCCTACTTTTAGTACTTTAAACTAACCTAGATGAAGAATAAAAACGTCATTGATCTCGAGGAACATTAATATCCTGGCGAAAACTCCCAATGGGGTAGAGAGAAGAAAAAGGGCAGTTAGGAGATTTATCATGGCTTCAACTATGCGGAGAATCTTGTTGAACGGCATGAATGGTGCATAGTGGCGCGTACGAAGACAAATTATGGATTACGTCGGCTATTTTTTTTAATATGAGAGAATTAAATACTTAAGTAACTTCAAATTGTCAATTTTAGAGGTGACAATTTGTGAAAATGACGATAAAATAAGCATTTTTGGAAATCGGGAAGTTACTTTTAATTATCATTCTGAAGAGTTTTCCAAATATAAAACTTTTGTTACCAAGCGACTAAAGTAGAGAGATTAATTTTTTCTCAGAGGGCACGATAACGAATCCTGCAATCTGATTGGTTCTTTACGCGGTCAGTATTTTCCTATCTCTGCCCACGGGCAACGATAACGCTTTTGTGAGTCGCCGAGTACATCCCTGGGTACATTCTGGGTACTTTTTGTGAAAGATTAAGTGCCACTCTCGCTAAGAGCGGTCCTCTCAACTTCCCGTCGGAAAAAAGTTTTAGTTCATCGGTTAGTTCATACTAAATATAGTAGTAGGTTAGTCATTACTAAATCTCGGGAGAAACTCCAAGAATTGTTTCGGAGTGTATGCCTGTTGTTTTGTAAATATAAGCACTGCAACCTATTTTAACTTGTTTTTGTATCCTTTTAAGCAACGCGACCTGTCTGTTATGACCAGAGTGCCAAGTTTTATTCTTTAATTTTGATCTTCTCCACTCTGTGCGTAGTTCATGACCTGATATTTCAACGTAAGTTATCGAGAAGGCGCCTCCTGATCACCTTTGTCTACTTTGTAAGTCACGCAAGCGCGCAAGCGTTACGACCGATCACGTTTACGCAACGATTTAGGACAACTCGGCATCTAATCTTCATTCAGTTGCTGTGAAAACCTAAAATCCTCAACGTAGAAGATAAACGAACGAAGTTGAACGGTCAAAAGGAGATCTTGGTCAACTCTAAGAATCATGCAAATAATCTTTGTCACGAGCGCAATTGAGCAAACACATGGATTTGCGTTGTTTTTAAGAAGTTGGTGGATGGAAGCTAGAGATATACCCGCGGGTTTGAGGCAATTTGTGACCTCATTGGTGTATAAACTATGCACTGATATGCTTTTTCAGCCCGATTAACGCCTGCATTTTGAGAATTCTTTCGTACAAAGTAGTGAGTTTTTGATATGCAAATTAAGTTCGAAGAGAAGGGTCTCCTCTGATCACGCTGGTATGAAAAATATTTCAGCTGAAGTTTCCATATTTTGTCTGTGAACTAACTGAATACACTTTGTAACTTGTAGCAAGGTAGAATCCGTTAGCTACATTGTTGCAGTCGCTGCACGCTGGACAAAATCTTTGAAATTTACACTTTCGATCGCTGTCCACAGGGGTGGTCTGGCCAAAAATCATTTTTGGCTTGTGGCGACGCAAAAAAAGAGAATTGGAGAACAACTAAACTATTTTTGAAACATGTGTCCTAAACCCTTTTCATGGGCAAAAAATAAAAGAAAACTTTTTTCCGACGGGAAGTTGAGAGGACCGCTCTTAGCGAGAATGGCACTTAATCTTTCACAAAAAGTACCCAGAAAGTTAAAACGTGAGGTATTTGGTTACAGTTGAACTAATTGATGGAACTTTCATTCATTTAATATCTGAATTTTCTCAAACAATTTGTTCGTAGTGAAAGAGCGAGCACAGTTTTAATTTCAGCTCTACAACGAATATACGCTCTCGGTGAGTCTTTCCAAGTCCGTTCGGTTTGGACATTTGCACCGTAATTTGCACGAAAGAAACTGAAGGAATTCAATGAAAAAAGGCCGCATTAAATCTCCTTATGTCTCGTTGCAGTGTATCATCCGAATTTAGGTTTTGTGGAGGAAAGACCAGATTTACACACGCCATTGTAGAAAACAAACGAGCAAACTCTCATAACTTAAAAATAAAAATTTTGAATTTACTTACAGTTACTTTCCTCGCCGTTTACTTAATGAACAGAGGCAAATCTTCATACATGAATTAGTCGTCGATGAGAGTGAATAATGCTTTCTGTAAGATCATTGACTGTTTTTGAAGAAAACATCAAGGTGACAGTCCTCGCCAAGGAGGAAAAGTACTTCGACCTATGATCTTGGACGATCAGTTTAATTTTTTCGATGTTTATTGCAGCGAGGTAAAATATCATGAACGCAAGAAAGGTTCACTCTATCACGAGCTATCTAAACTTAGTCATACAGTATTTTATTGAGAAAACACGTCAACGAGCGGACTTATTTGCCCTACTTCATGCTTGTTTAGCCATTGATAAGTAAATACATATTGCTGTAAAACAAAGCAATCATATTCAAAAGTTGAGCGAATCACGAAGAAACGAATGTTAATTAGAATACAGTACAGTGGATTCTATTGCGCCGTCAAATGCGACGCGAAGTGGAAAGTCCTATTGATAAAGGGGCTAATATGAGTTTTTGGTGTTTTGTTGGTAGGGCCAATACAAAATAATTTGGATTTATCCAATGAGCTGATGATGTGAATTGTACACCGTAAAGACACTACAAAGCCGACATTTCGAGCGCTGGCCTTTCGTCAGAGCAAATGACAAAGGGCTAACGCTTGATAGGTCAGCGTTATGATGTCTCTCTGAAAGTCTTATTACCCTTGGAAATTAGAAGTGATATCCAAGTTTGGTTTTGTTTTGGCATCAGGTCAGAGTGGTGACGTCATGAAAAACAACTGGAAACTATTCCTTTCATGTGCTTTGATCCTGCTTATTCTACAGCCTCTCTTTGGCCTCCCCGCCCTAAAACGGAAACGTCAGAAATATAAAGTTTTAATCCTCGGAGCCGGTTCTGCTGGCATTACAGCTGCTAAAACGTTGTACGATAGAGGCATCAGGAACTTCCTCGTGTTAGAGGCTCAGGATTACATTGGAGGGCGAATGAAGTCAGTGCCCTTTGCTGGTATGAAGATAGAGGAAGGAGCCAACTGGATTCACTACGTGGAAGAGAAGGACAATCCCCTTAATCGATTGAACAAAAAGTACAACTTGACGGGACATCTGTCCAATTATAGCGATTTCTGTATGCGGTAAGTTGACTCATATTTATAATCATTATCATCACTATTCACATTATTTCCGATTCCAGACACTAGTGTCTGGTACTGTCTGTTAGGTTTCCATCACAATGGCTCGTGTATCTTCTTAGTGGCCTTTCTCGCCCAGTCGTCCAACCAAAGACAGCTCACTTCCATACTCAGCACCTTCTTCGCCATGTAATCTATTTGCACGTCGTTTGACTCATACATCGGTTTGAGTTCCATCCGTGGGTACCACGGATGAACATAGTCGGCAAACTTGACGTCCCTCAGTACTTCAAAGAACAGCACTTTTGGTGCAGCGTTTTTATTGTTCACATATTTGGAGTGCGTCAGCGATGAACGGCCCGGCAACACGTGAGCATGGCTTTCTGGTTCCTTTTCGCATATTCTGCATATGGCGCTTACTTGTTATGACGTAATCGTCCTAGAGGCCAGGAAAAACTTGGATTGGCGAGAACTATTCGTAAGGCTCGATTGCGCTTGTCATGGCTTGCGTCAGAGTGTACGCTCAACCGCTCGATCTCAAGCTCGATCAGCCACGTGTATCCAGCTGGCTATTATATTATCGACAATATTATTATCATCATCACCATTTTTTATATCATTCACAAATTTTTCCGTTACAGCCCTTTCCCAGTTATCTCGGCCAAAATACTTATTATTGCAATAAATTAATGTCAATGATCAAATCATTTTCTTGCACAGAGATGACTTTGAGAACGACATCACTAATTTGAAAACGTTCCATCTGTGGGAGAAAGTTCGTGACGAACTGTTTGCAGAGGGGGAAAAAAGGGATGAATCGGACCCCCCACCCAGAGACATGCCTGCCTCTGTTTACCTGAAGATGCGCGCATGGCGTTCAGATTCCCCGGTGAAGAGGACCTTCTCCTGGTTCAACATTGATTTCGAGTACGGTGGAGATGAAACTGTTACATCCCTTAATAACATGGGTTTTCCGGGAGAAGATTTCTTTATCACTGACCAGAGAGGATACTGGACCCTCTTCAGTGACTTTTATATGCGGTTTAGGGAGAAGATTTTGCTAAATAAGCCTGTTACCAAGATCTACTACTCTGATAACAGCGTTACAGCCACCACAGCCGATGGAGATGAGTTTATTGCAGACTACGCCCTGTCAACCTTCAGTTCTGGAGTGCTGGGCAGTGGCTTAGTTGAGTTTGACCCTCCTTTCCCCAAATGGAAGTTGGAAGTAATATATCGTTTCCGTCCAGTTTACTTCACTAAGATTTTTCTTAAGTTCCCGCGAGATTTCTGGGATGATCACGAGTGGATTATGCACGCTGGCAAGAAAAAGGGCGAGTTTCCAACTTTCTATGACCTAGATCGACCTGGTTTCTTCCCTGGCACAGGTGTTTTGTTTACATCGGTGACTGGTGATGAATCACTCAGAATTGAGGCGCAAGACAATTCCAAAACGATGATAGAAGTGATGGCCACTCTGAGGAAAATTTACGGCGAAAACGTTCCTAACGCTACAGGTGAGCTGGGTGTATTTTATCATTTTGGTTAGTAATCTTTGTATGACTTGATTCTGATCGGCTAGTAAGATATGTTCCGTTGACAAAATGAAAGAAGGTATAGGAGAACAGTCAGGATGTTTTTGGAACATATCGATTCTATTTCATTTTTTTTTGTTTGTTTCAAGTGGAAAATGAAGTCTGTTTTCCAAGACGTCCACACCGTGAATTCTTGCTAATTTCCCTCCACTTTTGGAGAGTCGTTTTAGTTGTTAAAACTAATCTACGCCAGTTACATCATGAAAGGGACATTTCTGTCGTTGAATGAGTAAAGACTATTTTATTCTTACAGTATCTGCTTGTAATTCAACTGACCCATCTTCCTCCTTTAAAAATTTCTTTGTTAGACATCCATGTCAGCAAGTGGTCACAGAATCCATATGTGAGAGCAGCTTGGACAGATCCAGTAGTCGGCACAAGTTGGGGTCATTATGAGAACATGGCTGGTCGGCTTGGCAATCTCTTCTTTGCTGGGGAGAGCACCAGCTCTGAGTGGATGGGGTTCGTTCAGGGTGGATACTTCACTGGACAAGCTAAGGCCAAGGAGATAATCAGCTGTCTGAAGGGAAAGAAGTGTAAGCCATACCGAAAAGCGAAGAAATATGTTAAGTGAGACGTAACAACAGCGAGTGACTGAGAATGTTTGTAAACGTGTGCTGGTGACCCTCAAATAAAAGGATTTCACTCCATCTGTGTAACACGTCTGTCTGACGATGATGCTTCCCAACAGAGCAGTTTTCGATTGGCTTTGGTCGCTGCCGCCCTTCCCCCTCCCCCTCCCCTCTCCGCTCTCCGCTCTCTCCACAAATCAAATTCTAAAATGAATGAGAGTCACTTTTAATTTTCTTGCGTTTGAAATTGTTTGTTTTGCTAATTCTCGACTTAGAATATTTTCTTATGTTTTCATTGGTTGTTAGCGTGGCATCATTCTTTTTTTTCTGGTTTCGTGACATTTATTCAAACTGCGCGTTAAGAATTCAAACTTGGTTATTTACAAGATAATAAGCAAACAACACGAACCCAGTTGACGCCATTGGAATACTCGCTCCCTTTGGAAATATTGCAAAATCTTTCATCTTGGCCAGCTTTCTTTTGAAATGCGATCGATGTTGAAAGTAAATTAACTTTTCTCTGATATATTTAATCATAGCAATATCTTTATCAGAACGGATCACATTAATCCTTTACACCCTAACATCAGTATGTATATTCTCCATACGGTTTTTTATACATTTCCAAGGGTGCTGTGAAGGAGAATTTGTTTAACAATCAAGTGCTTCTTTAGTCGGTGATCGTTTCCTCTTTTCTCGTGACCTAAATGTTTGATTCAGGGATGATATGGTGAGGAGAAATTAGATGCTGATCACTGTTGGGGGTCAAAGGAGGGTCAAGAGTTTCAATTTTTTATACAGGCTTTATTTTTTAGGTGATTCCCACTAAGTTAGTTTTCCACTTTAATGTGCACAGCAACAATGTAGTATCATGATTATAAACTACTTCGACGTGTAGAACAATGACGCTTTTGTCGGAAAGGACTTTTAACTGTTTCTTTTTTGAGAGCTTTTTCCCTCGAAGAATGGTTGGAGGAAGTGGATGGTTTTATGCTGTTAGCTGTCCTTAACTCATGTCGAAGAAATTCCGGGGTGTTTTGCTCCGGGTGGCGAAGAATGATAAAAAGTTTTGGTGCAAAAATGCAGGCAAGCAAAGCGTACGAATTAACCAGGGCAGTTGAACATGATACCACAGCCACATACCACCCTCCTAGGGAAGTTTGTACAGGAAAGAACGCAATCCACGATAGCAGAAGGATATACATTGCAAAACCAATACAGCGAGCTTCGTTGAAGTTCTCGGGAAGAGTGCGAGCTTTAAAAGCGTAGAACGCACAAACAAGGCAAATAAATAAAAGATAAGTGAGCATAGCTATCTCCATGAACTGACCTAGACTCGTTCGGTAAGGAATGCACGTAATTATTACAAATTGTCCTTTTTCGATTTCAGTCTTTGTGAAAGGAGGATCCACTGCACCCCAGATAATTGCAAATATAACTTGAATCGAGTTTAACGAAATAACGGACACAAACTGCCCCAGCGAGCTGGCGCTGCTCTTTTTCAACCATCTTGCAACGTAAGTTATTTGAAAAGCTCTTAGTAGTTTCATGGTCTTTACTAATAGAACGGAGACACTCAGTGATGATGTTATATAGCGCCAGGGTTCAATGACGGCGCAAATGGCCGGAGAGGGCTGCGAAATTGTCAACAATGGTAAAACAAATCCCGCGGCAATGTCGGAAAGCAAAATAAAACTCAGATCACGATTAGCAGCCTTTACAACTGGAGTGTGATAATGCCGCATGAAAAGAACCGTTGTAAGGAATGTAAAAACAAATCCCAAGATGGTAAAAATAGCGAAGATGATTCCAGTCATGCTATTCCAATGGAGATTTTCTATTGGTAGGTCTACACATGTGGTTCTATTTTTATTTGACTTCTGCGTCCCAGAACACTTTGTACAGTTTGGTGATCCTTTGCGCGCATTTACCGCTCCATCAGGGCATTCAATGCATTGCCAACAACAAGAAACCGTCGTTGTTTGTCGTGTTCCAGGTGGACACGGCTCCAGACATATTGATTTTGGAATTTCGGATGTTTGACTGTTCAAAGTGCTGTTTCCATTTCTCCATTTAATTAAACTGCCATTAATTTCTAACATCGGATTTCCTTTAGCCTCCCAAAAACCTATTTTCATTTTGACATAGTTGCCATCAATATTCCTCTGAAAGCTGACAAAGTCATACACGGCTTGCAGAGGGTCGCCATTTTCGTCAAATCCAATTCGACCTGTTATTCCTTGAAAACTCACATTACGCAGGTACAAAAAAACGTCTGAAGATCGCACGAAAGGTTTTGTTTGAGGACAAGCTCCGTTTGGTAACAAACCGAGTGGTGTCTTGCATTTGTAGATCATATCAAGTGCGTGCGCGACTGCGTAAATAGCGTCAATTTGATATGGAATAAAGTCATCGGACATCTTGGAAAATACTTCATCAGTTATTGTTAAATTATCCTGACAACGCGTGTAACCCTGGATGTCATTGTTTGTAGAGCAGTTGAATTCTTTCCTCCAGATAATATCAAACCAAGGATTTATGTTCCTCCTTTCATAAGACGTTTTTGTGGTGAGATGTTTAAGATACTCCTCGAAGTTTCTGTCTTGAAATTGCTTCGGTTGAATTCCTAAGTAAATTCCAAGGCTCATCAAATCGTTTCCGAGATATTCTGGAGTTTTAGTAGCCAATGAGTCGCTCATGATCCAAACCTTTCCGATGAGATTTTGACTGTGCGCTTCTTTTGCCAGATCCTTTGCGTGTGTTGCTCCGATCCACAAGATTATAACTTTGATGTTCTCCGCCCGTTTAAGTTTTGCAATAACAGGTTTTAACTGACTATCATATTGAGTTGGTGTGATGTATTCCACTAATCCAATACAAAAAGTCTGTCGTCGAAAAGATTCTTGCTCAAGCGCACGAAAACCGTACAGTCCGTACGAATGTTCCACAGCGATCACCGCTACGTATTTCCAGCTGAAGTGTTCAATAAGATCCGCCATTGCCCTTGCTTGAAAACCATCCGGAGGAACTGTTCGTAAGAACTTTTTATAAAAGGACCAGCTGAGTTCTGCGCTTGTTGCCGACGGGCTTATAGCCGGAATGTTCACAACTTGAAGAAGTCCTGCAACTTGAAGTGAGTTCCGTGAACCGTAGGGCCCGACTATGGCAGCAATTGGTAAGGTTGTGTTCCTTTTAGAGATAGAGCATTGCGCACAAGCGCTGGAATTGCCGACAGGGTGGCCATTGGAGTCTTCGACTATTTCCAAGAAATGGATGTGTGTGCTGAAATCGTAAGTATGTTCCATTGCCTTTGCTCTGTCCATGCAATGATCTCGAATATCATAACCAAGTTGAACATTCGGGAGGATATTTACGTTTTTGTTAATTTGCTCAATAGTGAATATCGCAGCCTCGACGCGTATTATTCCAACGAGATGTACGTTTCGGCAACCTTCTTCCGAATTCTCCTGATGTGCGGCCAGAAGGCTTCCAATAATCACGTCGCCATTTTTGAAAATCCTGTCAATTGTTTCTTGTAAGTTTGTCAAAGGATACATCACGTATAAAAGGCAAAACGCGAAAACCAGTCGTGAAAAACCAGCCATAATTAATCGTCCCCTCCTCGATACTTATTTTTACTTATTAAATTGTTGAGCTAAAATCGCCAATATTGAGCCAAAAAAGCAAACAGACTGTGATACCCTTGACATTTTTCTGACAAATTTCAGTAATTAGCATTTCTATCTTGCTTATATTTTGAAAAACTGTTTGCTGGTTTTACAAGAGAAAGGGGAAATTAGTTTTCAATATAGCACCTTGCTGTCTTCATTTGCAATTTATAAATGAAAAAAGGTATTGTTATCATCTTTGAAATCGGCTAGTTCGTCATGACAAGTCAATCCGAGCGGGCAAAAAACATTATAATAATCTATGTTTTCGATGAAAAAAGAGGAATCGGCTGAGCAATTATCATTAACACTTCCATTTATGTTTACATAAAAAAAATAACTTGTCTGCTTGGAATGGAATAAAAAGAAGTAAATATAATGTTTCATGTAGCGCCAAAAATAGGAAACTTACCTTTGTGACTTAAAATGAAGTATTAGTGTGCTAAACCTGACATGATAGTTTTAAAAGAGAATTAAAGGTATTTCGAAGCAGAAAACTTGTGATGCAATATAAAAGGAATCAGAGAAAAAATCGTGAATAGAATCCAGGCAAATATATTTAAACTTAAATTTCCGCTCAAGGGTTCAATGTTTTATTAATCAGTTATTAGATTACTACAAACAATGTATGAATTATATCGTATTTTGACTTGAACGACGGATCGTGTGAGGTAAACTTAAATTATAGAAATTTAAGCCGGAAAGTAAAATTAGGCTTCGAAAAGGAGCTCGATTGAGCGCGATCCTTTCAGTGATTGGGCACTGGTGCCTGCTGGGCTACGCGGCCACATGTTGGGAGCGAGGAGAATTTCATTCAAATTTAACAATTTTCAATTTTTTTTTCCCATATCAATAAACTTCTGCTGCCCTTTCATTTGGTTGAATTTCTTACCAAGCACGAATAACATGACCGATAACTGCGTGCTTTTCGCTTCTATTTTTTTTTCAATCAGCCAATGAGTTTGTTAAAATGCGTTCAATTACTCGGAGGCAATTTGGCAGGAAAGTAATCAGTTAATATTTAATGTAAAAAGCTGTTTTTCATTACAATGATAGGCGATGATAGCATGCCATAGAAATACTTGATAATTAAGTCCTATATTTTTCTGTACAACAAAAAAAACTTCTGATAGCATCATTCAAGATCTAAATCGAAAACCATTCAAAACAAAAAGAATTGCTCGCGTCTCATATCTTGTTTGCTCTTATTTCCATACGCGATTAGCACACGATATTTTGAAAACGATGCCAGATTTTTAATGGCGGGATCTCACCTTAAAATTTGATCAATATATTTTTGCTTTCACATTTTCTCCTTTTTGAATTTAGCAGGAATTTTCCCTCAGTAAAATTAAAATATATGCCAACTTCAAGTGCACTATCAAGAACAGC